TCTAACAGGTCTAAACCTGTTAGATCTCGCATTATTAGATCTAAGGTCTAGACCCAGACACATGTTGATGGTTTTCATGAAATTTCATGGTATGTTCACTGTTTCGCAATCACTGATATATATTACCTATCCGGAACTATAAGAGCTCCATCAGGCATTCATTACAGAATGTTTTCATGGCTGATGCATTCTTAATGCATACTTATATGTATGGTTGTTGGTGCATTAGAAATTACAAATAATATTACAATTAAACTAATTAGAATTCTAATGAGAAAGTTAGAAGACCCCTTGAGAACAGATTAGGACGTTCTAATGTCGTACACCCATTAGAATGGCTATTCAGGCCGCCTCCGCAGCCTGCAACGGCACATTTTTCTAGGAAAAATGGCTGATGCTGATGCTGGGCCATCAAAACCACCAGTTTCGAAGACTCCTAAAGCAACATACACTTATGGATTTTTCTAGAAGTTTTGGGGCGACAGGTTTGGCATGTCCGGACTGTGTGTTGGGTGTTGCTTTGCAGACAATTAGGACTGGACTCTTGGACTCTTGGTTCAGGTACCAAAGATGTTGGGAAGGCGTACGCAGAGACAGTTTAAGACAGTCTAAGACAGTTTAAAGGCGAAATTAGTGACCCAGAGGTCACTTCGACCGGGGGTTTGGCTGAGAAGTCCTGCTTACGGGTGTCGTAGCCCCGTAAAAACCGTTAAAAACACCTGGGTTAGCATCTGCCGTAACCATGGTGAAACTCCGAAGTGAAAAGTCCCCCTCCCTGAGAAGTTACCCCAGGTCTCCTAATATTATTTCTAACGTTCTAATTAGAAATAATATTATAATTAGTAGAGAACGCCTGAAATTCTAATAAAATCAACAACCCTACTTATATGACATACTTACATAAAACCGCTTAATCCCAGTGTAAGAATGTTTAAGAATGCACACCCGCCGCCTCCGTGTTCTTCAGACGTTCTTATCGTTCTTAAGCATTCTCCTAAGTTTCTCAACCCCCCTCCGCGTTCGTAGGGATAGTAGGGCTGCGACATACGAAGCTCTTATCGCCGTTGGTAAGTATCGCTGTATTGATCATCTCCATGCGGGAGAGTTGTTGCTCATTTTCCAGATCGAGCATCTGGTCTCCGAGCTTCTTGAAATCCTCCTAGAGGGCTAGGAGCATGCCAGCAGTGATAGGACCATCTGGATTGCCCCGCGCTCTTGCCAGGTGCTCTCTGTAAATGTTGTCCATTCTAAATTGCAATTTCGAGGTCGGATTACACCGGGAATTCCAGCAAGGCAGGACCGTGGGTGTTGGCGGCTTGCAGCACTGTTGGTTCTATACATGTGCATTTCTATTTCTATAGGTGGTGCTAAATCATTTCGCTTTAGGCGCTTTAGGTGCGATTTATGCATCCGGAAGCCCTTTCAGCCTCCCAGGCATGTCCCCACCTGCCTCACAGCCACCGACGCATCTCACGGCGGGGGTCTAATTGCGTGCGCGTATGGATGCTCCTATTCCTGACGCCTTTCTAACAGCTAGTTAATGTTATGATGCATCGTTGGTCCGGCGTACGACGGCGCCTGGTGCGATTTATGCATCCGGAAGCCCTTTCAGCCTCCCAGGCAAGTCCCACCTGCCTCACAGCCACCGACGCATCTCACGGCGGGGGTCTAATTGCGTGCGCGTATGGATGCTCCTATTCCTAACGCCTTTCTAACAGCTAGTTAATGTTATGATGCATCGTTGGTCCGGCGTACGACGGCGCCTGGTGCGATTTATGCGTCCGGAAGCCCTTTCAGCCTCCCAGGCATGTCCCCACCTGCCTCACAGCCACCGACGCATCTCACGGCGGGGGTCTAATTGCGTGCGCGTTCGCATGCGGCATGTCCCGCCACCTTTCTGGCATCTATTGATGGTATGATGAATTGTTGTACGATGTAGGGCTGCGCCTGATGCGATTTCGTTTGCGGAAGGCCCCCCTGAGTGCTGCCAAGCATGTTATTCATGAAACTGCGTGAAGGTTAACGAACTGCGTATGCGACAACACTTAAAACATCGCATGTGAATTGTTATGTCATGCGATTCATCAAAGGTAAATTGTGTGTGCTTGTTGTGTGTTAGCTTAGGCCGCATTAAGCTTGACGCAATGAGCCTTTATACGCATGAAACGCAGCATGTATTAGCATGCGAAATGCGTTGCGACATGTGTGCGTAAGGTGAGTGTTAGGCCGCGTTAAGCTTTACGCAATCAGCCTTCATACGCATGATACGCAACATGCATTCGCATGCAAATAGCCTTGCGGACTGTGTGCGTTTGATGTGCGAGTGGACGCGAATTGCTTTACGCATTGTCTCCCCACACGCACGAATCGCAATATGGAATCGCATGCGTATCGCCTTGCTACACATGCGCGTATGCTTCGCGTTTCAACATACGCACGGATGAATTGTTCAAGTCGACCAAAACGACGCAAGTTTATTTCCAAATAAACCTTTACAATCTGTAAATTATAAATTTTTAAAAACTTGGCCAGAAGGGCCGATTTCCGCTTTTCCATAGCCGTTGTGCGTTAGCTCTTTGCGTTACAAAAGCATGCTCATTCGCACCTAACGTTAAGATTCGCACCGTTACGCGAACTAACGCGAGCTAACGCGGACTTAACGCGATCACCCGTCGTCATGTTATAACCAGGGCCCTGTCTCAACACGTCCCCCAGCTTCCTTCGTTCTCTTTTCATTACTACCATATTTCTTTTATAGATAATGAAACATTGAAAAGACAAGCGTGAAGAGGCGAGGTGTCGCGTTAGCGTCTTTAAGCAGCCTCTCACTCAAACGAGGGTTTTCATTAAGCAGCCTCTCACTCAAACGACGGTTTTTATTAAGCAGCTCTCACTCAAACGTGATGCAAGCTGCTTAATAAAAACTCCGTACAACTCCAAAATGCGAAGGCCACGGCCGGGCGCGCAAAGGCCAGCTCTCAAAAGCCGGGAACGCGGGCTTGACGCGTATGTGCGTAAAATTCGCGGGCGGGCGATATTCGATCGGGAGCTGAAGCGGCTTGATTATCTTGCCCAGAATGTGAAGCCCTCGGCGGGCCGCGCCAAGGGGTCTGACCTTTTCAAAAGCCAGGAGTGCTGGTGGGATAAGCATTATGCGTGTGGCCTTCGCAGAGCCGGCCGTGGCCTTCGCATTTTGGAATTGTACGGAGTTTTTATTCGGCAGTCGTACCTGCATATCGTTTGTATGAGAGCTGCTTTAAACAGCGGTACATCAAGCATCTTGCAATTCACGAACGCAATACAGTGTAGATCGGTTCGAGAAGTAAATATGCCGCGCTTCAGCAGCACCCTGCTGCTGCTTGTCGTAGCTGTCGCCGCTTCCGCGTTCATCGTCGACACATGCGCCGCTGATGGCGACAGCAGCCGGCGCTTGCTGGCATCAGGTAGGTGTGTCGTCATTCAATCCCATCACATACACACGCTTTTCCGACATCACGTCGGTGTATACGGTATATTTGCCCTGCTCTCTAAGAGGTAGGCCTTGGCACGCATGCCCCTGGGATGGTTGATGTTGACATCATATGTTGCCATCTGCATGCCGACTGACCTACGATTGCACTGATTGCTCGGCGGTGCTGAGCGGTGCTAGAGTTGTATCACGGCGTCAGAAAAGTATCGATCGGCGGGCGCAGATCCCGTAATATGCCCAGAATACAACAGCTACACTCTTCATTTTATCCATCCTAACGCTTCAAGGTAGTTTGGGGCCTTGAAGCACCTTGATGCAGCTGAGCGGCACCTGCACCTGCCAGCTTCCGGGAGCCTTCCAGGCCTGTGGGTTTTTGCAACCATTACAGTGGGCTCCAGACAGATCCAGACTCACAAAGAGTAGAGCCAGCGGGCCAGCTGGCCGTGCATTGCACTAGACACTAATATACAAACTCGAAAATCACCCAGGTGAGACAACTAAAAGAAAATCGACAGTCAAAACCGCGACCAAAGGGAAGTCTCAGGATTCCCAGTTAATATTGAATAGGCCTGAGCCTCAAAAGTCCTCCAATTAAGACAATAAAAAAATTAGGTGATAGCTAATCGTCTATCGGTGACCGCTCCCGTGAGCATAACATTTTGCCTGACACAATCTGCAAGAAGGGGTGATGTGCACCAACAGAATCCCAACCTTTCTGTGTAATTCCCAGAGCTGCGAAACCCTGAATGCGGCCCCAAAAGTCAACAACAACTCGACAAATGGCTCCTTCCGTAAGGGAAGGGCCAGGTAACAGTGTCGGGTTGGTTTTCATGTTTGCAACCATATATAGTTTCCAGAGAAACAGAGAAATGGTAACCGAAAGCCGTCGCCGATGGCTTGCTATCGTAGTACTGACGGATATGTCCAGTACGGCACATACATTATTGCAAGCTAGCTGTTGTACACATAATGAACATACGCCTGCTGCTGCGCGTCTGCTGTTGCATCCTCCCTATCTACCCAGCAGGCAGTCACTACACACGCACCACACTTTAGAAAAGTGCAGCAGACCTGTGGGCACAAGTGTGTTGAGGCGATATTTTATGTGATGATCGAATGAGCCGCAGCGGTGCTGCTCCTGCTTAAGTAGGGTGTTTCCCTTGCCTCACTCAATTTACGCAGGCTGCAAGTACACCATTCAAGCTGGTGACACCTATTGGATCCTCGCCCAGCGGCGTGGCACCACCGTGGGCGCCATTCAGTCCTTGAACCCGGGAGTTGACCCCAACAGGCTGCAAATCGGCCAGGTCATCAATGTGCCGTGCTCAGGAGGAGGGTACGTATGCACATCGATGGATGTATGTCTGTGTAGTAGCTGGCCGCTGAAAAGGCCTCTCGAGATGCTGGTGATCGCGCTTTGCGCATATTTGTAGAGCCGTACTGTGTATCAGCTACTACATTCCCCCCCTTTTGAAGGGATCCGTCTCGGGTCCTTACGGCCACGTATACCACCAGCCTGTGCCTACCTTCGCCTACCCTCGGGCAGTGGGTGCCCAGTCCACGTCACGTCATGTCACACACACATGCGCCTAGCCGTCTAAAGGTTTTTCAGGCACAGAGACAGTCCAGTCGGTTCAGCTACACTATTATCGCGATAATCGCTCACTGAGTCACCAAACCCCATATTCCACCAAGCGTGATTAGTGGGAGTTGAACCGACGAAGTTGAACCGACGACTTCACAAGGTCTCGATACCAAATGTAGTAGCTGGCCGCTGAAAAGGCCTCTCGAGGTGCTGGCGGTCGCGCGTCGCGCGTATTTGTAGAGCTATACTGTGTACCAGCTACTACAGTCTGAAATTACTGCGTGGGAAAACACGAAATAGGAGCTCATAGGCTACATGTGCTTGTACCGTAACACGCAAGCACCGCCGACCACCTATTGTTCCAGCATCTACCGAGTGCAGTTGATTTATTAATGATAACTGCTATGAGTTCTGATATTAGTGCATTTCCGGCCACAACTTTCTGGCCACCTATGGCCCAAAGGAAGGAACTTGCGTGGGCAGCCGGAGCGACGTGAATCCATTCATTTTACCCAAGCCCGAACACCCCAATTTATTTATTATCTTAAGGAATCTGATTTCTTGTCACTAAAAGCACTGTGCCTCCAATCAATCCCATACGTACCGTGTGTGCCTGCTGGATCAGATCAACGCCGACCTCCACTACGCCAGCTGCCAGAGGTAAGCACATGCGGTTGCTTGCTCGCGCGTGGTGCAGATATATAGACATATGACTGCCTGTTTAGGATTTCTTGCGTAGTTGCCTTACTGCTTAGGGGTCGTACAGACGGAGGAGTACCTGCAGGCAGGAAAGTTGTGCTTGCTTCCGTGGGAAGGGGCGAGCCTGGTCATAAATATTCGTTTCACTCAGAAAACGTGCAGATTTTAAGATTTGTGTCAAAGCAATATTGTCAGAAAGAGGGGGGAAAAATAGTAGTGTGGAAGTGTGTGTGTGTGTGTGTGTTACATGGTTGGGGGTGCGTGACCCCATACCTGTAAGACTTCCCATCAGGGTTCGACACTGACCTTCCTGAAACTTGCGGGCTCCCCCGTACCTCCCAAATTTTCCTTACGGAGGGGCCCCCGTACCAGGCTCCTGTACCGGCCGAAAACCTTACGGGGGCCCCCGTAACCCCCGCAAAACCTTTACGGGGGCACTGTCCTTGGCTGAAACGCTGTGGAAAGTGACGCTTTGCATTTTTTTGCTCTGTAAATCGTTATTTTCGTTATTTTCTCGCGCTTCTTGGAGGGCGGTGGATTAGGAGGCGCTTGGTCACCTCCTGACGACTCATTGTCTGCCATCGCTGGATGTTACAGACCAGAAGCTATAAAAGTTTTATGAAAAGTGTAGTTAAATATTGCAATATGAATTATGTCTGCCAAGTGTGTGGCCTTATCCTTTATATGGTCCGTCCTCTCCCCTACAGGGCCCCGTACGGCCTCTTATAAATCCTTAAAATCCTTACGGGAGCCACCGTAACCGGCCTTCGGCCCGTCCGGGGGCGGCCCCGTACGGGGCGCTTCGCGCCCCAAAATCCTTACGGGAGCCACCGAAAAGTCCTACGGGCCCTGACGGGGATACCGAAAAAAGGCCAAAAACTTACGGGCCCCGTACGGGGTGTCGAACCCTGCTTCCCATACGAGCCGAAGGCCCAAGGGCAATACTACAACGCCTAAAAGCCACGGAGAAAAGGAAAAAACACCGCACATCAGCCCAGACTAGCGTCCAAAGGGGGTAATTGAGTTTCGGTGAGCCCACATACGTTCCAACATCCTTGCCAGACGTGCGGGTTCCCATTGCATGGCCTCCAACATGCTCTGTTGATGATCGAATCCCTCTTCAGCACGAATATCATTATAGGCTGGACATTCCAATAACACGTGTTTTTCATCCTCAATTCGGCTATTTGTACCACAACAGTGGCAAAACCGCTGCCCCCTGGGGACATGGTACTTGCCCCTTCGTGCTCTGTTTGCCTCCAAAGCCCAGCAACATAAACGAAACTGCATTAGCTTACGATGTGCTAAACGAGGAATGAAAACCTTAGCATGTGTTGGCCACATGACGGCTGCGGCTCCCGAAAAGGACAGCCCCATCCAGTGCTTATACTTCGCCATTTGCACTCCCGGTTGCTTCCCATCTGATGGGTACTCCTCTGGCAAGACAGTCAGACGCGTATGGTCCCAGCCGCTCATCAAACGCTCCCTTAGTGCCGTTATCATCGCTCCTTCGGGTAGAGGTCTACTCAACAACCAGTCAACACGCTCCTTTACCCCCACGACTTCTTGCGGTATTCCGCTCCAAATGTTGCACTCCAAGAAGGAAAACAGTCGTAACATTGAGATTCCCCAACCCTCCCATTCCGGGTTGGTCAGGGCATCGGTTATCTCCTGCCGTAAAACGGCATGAGCAATGGATCCCACTTGCTTTTGAAGGCGGTTCCAGAAACGGAGGATCTGCTTCACCATGTAATATTGTAAGGGGAGTTCAGCCAGCTCGGCGTACAACAGCCTGTGGGATGGCCGTGCCGTCCCCACTACCTGCCTCATGAATAAAATCTGCAGCTGGACTGCACTATCCTTCAAACAGGCTTCGAACATGCCCTCCGGAAGGTTGGCTTTATCCCGCCGCCTTCCCACCCTGTCCACGACCTCTGCCAGCGCAAAAGGGCCCCACGCCTGGCAGCCATACAACAGAATTGCTCGGACTTGGGTTGCAAAACACCGCATTCGCACATCGGGGGCAAAAAGCTTCATTTTGTCCAGCTTTGCGCTTAAGGAAAACATAGCGGACCGACCTGTATCACACAACTGCTGACGGCACGCACTAAAAGGCCGTTCTGGCCCATATACCAAGCCCAGATAGCGAGCGCTATCTTTGGCAGGTACTACCTGGCCTGATAGCCGTAACTGTTGACATCTCTCGCTAAGTTCCGACTGCTGGGTGCCATCACATGCAAAAACAAGCCTTTCACACTTTGAGACATTTGGTCGCATCCCAAAAGCTTCACAAAACAAGTCCACAAGATGTAGCAACTCAGACATTCGCTCTAGTGAAGTCGCTAGCAGACTAACATCGTCTGCATACAACAGTAGTGACGCGCCGTTGATCCGCTAGATTTGGTTGGATGCTGGTGGTGAGTTGCCAAACTCAAAGAGTACACTCTGAAGTCAGATGGGGTGAATGTCTTAGGGTGCCCCTCTAGCAGGGGTGAGCAGGGAATTGCCTCGGGAAGGAGGCCACTGGTGAAGCTTAACCACCCTGTAACAACATCAACAGTATGGAGGCAGGCGGCTGGCAGAGGTTAAGGCCTGACTTCTGCTCCCGGCGCGTCCGGATTCAAATCCGCCTGCCGACCTCTGGGGGTATTTGAGAGGTGTTGAAATGGGAGGTGGCCCCCCATCTTGTGGATGGTGTAGGACGTGATAAAATCAACTTGCGAGCTGACCAGGAACTAAGTTGACGCGCCGTTGATCCGCTAGATTTGGTTGGATGCTGGTGGTGAGTTGCCAAACTCAAAGAGTACACTCTGAAGTCGGATGGGGTGAATGGATTAGGGTGCCCCTCTAGCAGGGGAGAGCAGGGAACTGCCTCGGGAAGGAGGCCACTGGTGAAGCTTAACCACCCTGTAACAACATCGACAGTATGGAGACGCGCTTGCTGTCCACAAGGGGTGCGACATACTTCCGTGCTCCAGCTTCTACAAGGTCATGAGTATCAATCAGATCAGCTAGTGTCTCGATGAAGAGTCCAAACAACTCCGTAGATAAAGGACAGTAGTGTGGAAGTGGTGACGGCGGAGCCATCGTCTGTCATCCCCAGCAGTCCGGAGGCGATCCATCGTAAATGAGAGGCGGTGCTATTGCGAACACAGCTGGCGAAGGAGCGTTTACAAGGGGATTACCTAGGCCTATGGCTAGCTCGTTCTTGGGTGCATCTCATTGGCATTTGCGTTTGTTGAGTGATTCAGAGGGAGGACTTAATAAGATAATCATCCTTCGCAGCAATCCTATTGAATCTGCAAACCCTGAACCAGCTGCTGAGTAAATTAAAACATTAGTAAACTAATCAACTCGGAAGTCTCCCTCTGAGAAACACCGGACGGTACTTTCCTTACAGCTGTTGGGTGCGACCGCTGACACCATCCCATAGATGAATATGCATGCCATGCTATGCTAGTGATGAAACATAGGATTAAAACAGAGAAATGGTAACCGAAAGCCGTCGCCGATGGCTTGCTATCGTAGTACTGACGGATATGTCCAGTATGGCACATACATTATTGCAAGCTAGCTGTTGTACACATAATGAACATACGCCTGCTGCTGCGCGTCTGCTGTTGCATCCTCCCTATCTACCCAGCAGGCAGTCACTACACACGCACCACACTTTAGAAAAGTGCAGCAGACCTGTGGGCACAAGTGTGTTGAGGCGATATTTTATGTGATGATCGAATGAGCCGCAGCGGTGCTGCTCCTGCTTAAGTAGGGTGTTTCCCTTGCCTCACTCAATTTACGCAGGCTGCAAGTACACCATTCAAGCTGGTGACACCTATTGGATCCTCGCCCAGCGGCGCGGCACCACCGTGGGCGCCATTCAGTCCTTGAACCCGGGAGTTGACCCCAACAGGCTGCAAATCGGCCAGGTCATCAATGTGCCGTGCTCAGGAGGAGGGTACGTATGCACATCGATGGATGTATGTCTGTGTAGTAGCTGGCCGCTGAAAAGGCCTCTCGAGATGCTGGTGATCGCGCTTTGCGCATATTTGTAGAGCCGTACTGTGTATCAGCTACTACATTCCCCCCCTTTTGAAGGGATCCGTCTCGGGTCCTTACGGCCACGTATACCACCAGCCTGTGCCTACCTTCGCCTACCCTCGGGCAGTGGGTGCCCAGTCCACGTCACGTCATGTCACACACACATGCGCCTAGCCGTCTAAAGGTTTTTCAGGCACAGAGACAGTCCAGTCGGTTCAGCTACACTATTATCGCGATAATCGCTCACTGAGTCACCAAACCCCATATTCCACCAAGCGTGATTAGTGGGAGTTGAACCGACGAAGTTGAACCGACGACTTCACAAGGTCTCGATACCAAATGTAGTAGCTGGCCGCTGAAAAGGCCTCTCGAGGTGCTGGCGGTCGCGCGTCGCGCGTATTTGTAGAGCTATACTGTGTACCAGCTACTACAGTCTGAAATTACTGCGTGGGAAAACACGAAATAGGAGCTCATAGGCTACATGTGCTTGTACCGTAACACGCAAGCACCGCCGACCACCTATTGTTCCAGCATCTACCGAGTGCAGTTGATTTATTAATGATAACTGCTATGAGTGCTGATATTAGTGCATTTCCGGCCACAACTTTCTGGCCACCTATGGCCCAAAGGAAGGAACTTGCGTGGGCAGCCGGAGCGACGTGAATCCATTCATTTTACCCAAGCCCGAACACCCCAATTTATTTATTATCTTAAGGAATCTGATTTCTTGTCACTAAAAGCACTGTGCCTCCAATCAATCCCACACGTACCGTGTGTGCCTGCTGGATCAGATCAACGCCGACCTCCACTACGCCAGCTGCCAGAGGTAAGCACATGCGATTGCTTGCTCGCGCGTGGTGCAGATATATAGACATATGACTGCCTGTTTAGGATTTCTTGTGTAGTTGCCTTACTGCTTAGGGGTCGTACAGACGGAGGAGTACCTGTAGGCAGGAAGGTTGTGCTTGCTTCCGTGGGAAGGGGCGAGCCTGGTCATAAATATTCGTTTCACTCAGAAAACGTGCAGATTTTAAGATTTGTGTCAAAGCAATATTGTCAGAAAGAGGGGGGGAAAATAGTAGTGTGGAAGTGGTGACGGCGGAGCCATCGTCTGTCATCCCCAGCAGTCCGGAGGCGATCGATCGTCAATGAGAGGCGGTGCTATTGCGAACACAGCTGGCGAAGGAGCGTTTACAGGCCTGGTAATCCCTATGGCTAGGCCTAGGTATCCCTATGGCTAGCTCGTTCTTGGGTGCATCTCATTGGCATTTGCGTTTGTTGAGTGATTCAGAGGGAGGACTTAATAAGATAATCATCCTTCGCAGCAATCCTATTGAATCTGCAAACCCTGAACCAGCTGCTGAGTAAATTAAAACATTAGTAAACTAATCAACTCGGAAGTCTCCCTCTGAGAAACACCGGACGGTACTTCGTTTATAGCTGTTGGGTGCGACCGCTGACACCATCCCATAATATGCATACTATGCTATGCTAGTGATGAAACAGAGAAATGGTAACCGAAAGCCGTCGCCAATGGCTTGCTATCGTAGTATTGACGTATATCTCCAGTACGGCACATACATTATTTCAAGCTAGCTGTTGTACACATAATGAACATACGCCTGCTGCTGCGCGTCTGCTGTTGCATCCTCCCTATCTACCCAGCAGGCAGTCACTACACACGCACCACACTTTAGAAAAGTGCAGCAGACCTGTCGGCACAAGTGTGTTGAGGCGATATTTTATGTGATGATCGAATGAGCCGCAGCGGTGCTGCTCCTGCTTAAGTAGGGTAAGTAAGCAGCGGTGCTGCTCCTGCTTAAGTAGTGTTTCCCTTGCCTCACTCAATATACGCAGGCTGCAAGTACACCATTCAAGCTGGTGACACCTATTGGATCCTCGCCCAGCGGCGCCGCACCACCGTGGGCGCCATTCAGTCCTTGAACCCGGGAGTTGACCCCAACAGCCTGCAAATCGGCCAGGTCATCAATGTGCCGTGCTAAGGAGGAGGGTACGTATGCACATCGATGGATGTATGTCTGTGTAGTAGCTGGCCGCTGAAAAGGCCTCTCGAGATGCTGGTGATCGCGCTTTGCGCATATTTGTAGAGCCGTACTGTGTATCAGCTACTACATTCCCCCCTTTTGAAGGGATCCGTCTCGGGTCCTTATGGCCACGTATACCACCAGCCTGTGCCTACCTTCGCCTACCCTCGGGCAGTGGGTGCCCAGTCCACGTCACGTCATGTCACACACACATGCGCCTAGCCGTCTAAAGGTTTTTCAGGCACAGAGACAGTCCAGTCGGTTCAGCTACACTATTATCGCGATAATCGCTCACTGAGTCACCAAACCCCATATTCCACCAAGCGTGATTAGTGGGAGTTGAACCGACGAAGTTGAACCGACGACTTCACAAGGTCTCGATACCAAATGTAGTAGCTGGCCGCCGAAAAGGCCTCTCGAGGTGCTGGCGGTCGCGCGTCGCGCGTATTTGTAGAGCTATACTGTGTACCAGCTACTACAGTCTGAAATTACTGCGTGGGAAAACACGAAATAGGAGCTCATAGGCTAGGCTGGTCAAGGTAGATGGGATCAGTGCGGGTGTGTGTACGAACTCGACACGCTCTGCTTGCTGTTGTTGCATCTGTGACAGAGTCTAGCTACTATTAAATTGCTAATAAACCGCCATGCGTGTGGATACCACCCTGCTCGTCACACTTCGCCCCACTCTGTCCCCCGCCGCCCATGCAGTGGTGGTAGCAAAGTCCTTTACTCGGGATCGGGCAGTGGCACCTACTACTACGACCTGCGCACCACGTGCCCCCAAAACCCCGGCGGCTTCCCAGAGAACAACGGCTACCCCTATTGTGCAAGCTATGACCCGTCTGCACGCACCTACAAGACTCTCGCTCAGCTGGGCACTAATAATTTTAATTGCCATTGACCAGAATGTGCTGTCAGCAAATCGTGCCGGACTGTGTGGCAAAAAAATCCTGGTGTTCAAGGATGGCATTCCAGTGGCGGCTCCGGACGGTGGTAGCTTCTTCGTGTGGGACGGCTGCGAGGCGTGTGTTGGCGGGGGTCGCATTAACTTCAGTTTGAGTGGTTTGCAGCGGGTCGCCAGCAATGCCTGTTCGCTGGGGGTGGTTCCGGGCATCTCCTGGCAAGTGGTGGATGAGGTGGTGCAGCAGTTTGTACCTCCGTGATTGATGATGAGAACCTTATAATGTCCAGATAGATTGGCTACCCTGGGCCAAACCCTGTGACAGACACACGGTATAGACCAGGAGTGTTTATGCCGGTGTAAAGTACCAAGGAAAGCCCCGCACCTCACACCCCGGACCGTCCCCAATGACCAGCTAAATGACTAATACGATGCTAACAAAAGGTTTTGTGGGCAATGGCCAGAGCGGAGCAAGGCTGGCCAAGATGCCGTACGCGTCGGTGTCGGACTCTTTCTGTGCTCAGCTGCATAGGCTGTCAGCATTCCCTATCTTATTACGCCGCCAGAGATTTGTATGTATGTATGTATGTATGTATGTATGTTGTTACAGGGTGGTAAACTTCGCCAGCGGCCCCTTTCCCGGGCAGTCCCTGCTCTCCCTTGCTAGAGGGGCACCCTAATCCGTCACCCCATCCCACTTCAGAATGTATTCGTTGGGTTCGGCAACTCACCACCAGCATCCAACCAAATCTAGCGGATCAACGGCGCATCATCTTAGTTCTTTTTCAACTCGCAAGTTGATTTTAATCATGTCCTACATCGGCCATGTGATGGGGGGCCACCTCCTATTTCATCACTCCTCGAACACCCGAGGAGCCGGCAGGCGGATTTGAACCCGGGTTGGCTGGGAGCAGAAGTCAGGCCTTAATCTCTGCCAGCCGCCTGCCTGTATGTATGTTCATACGCATGTATGATTATTGTGTGGTATAGTCCATGTGTCGGGACACCAATTCTTAGCCATCTATATATTCCGACTTCAGCCTGCGAAGTCAGTGACTTTATCCTGATCAGCAACCACCACCAGCATGCAGTGGAATTTGCCAGTTCAACGTCGGCGACAACTCTGGAACTGTACGTATGTGTGTACGTATGTGTTTCGGTAAGTGGTATGTAGGTATGAGACATATGCACTAGACAAGCTTTCTATCGACCTCTTCGCAGAGACCAAGCGTGTATGTATGACAACCGTGCGCATGTGCTGGTGCAGGCCGCACGTTAAGGAAATCCTAATTGCCATGCTAAAGCAAAGCTGTATCCTATCCTATCTATAGAAGCTGTCTGATTTATGGCCATGCATGCGTAGTTGGGCGCCTGATGACACGCGCACCACAAGCCGAACGAGGACTGAGCCCGTAATGAAATTATTAAGATACTTTAAAGTACAAAGACGGAACGGAAAACGGCTTCTTGCAGCCAGAACGTGCGGATCGATCGGTTCCGCGTCCTTACAAATAAACGGCAAGGCATGTACGACGCGGCATATGCTGCAATTCCTATGTATGAGGACGGCCTACCACCACCTCATAACTCACCAATCTAGGTACGTATGGAGAAAAGAACCATTCCATGGCAATATAAAGCTGTAACACAACCGAAAAACCATCATCAATACGGTTCCGGTGCTAACGCAACGACACAACCCTCGTATATCTGGAAAAAAAGTGCCGCCAACTGTCACTCAAAACAAAAAACGTACACTATGTTGTCATGCAGCCCGCATGTTAACACACATGGGGCCTCGTATACGCACATGAAAAGGCAGTACTGTCTCACAAGCCCCCCTGCGGAGCCCCGCCAGCGCCAAGCGCTGCCGTGCCCAGCCCCAGTCCCAGCCCCTGCTGCTGCTGCTGCTGCTGCCCGGCCGGCCCTGCCGTCGTGTCACTCCCCGCAGGCACCAGGCGCTTGGGGTTCAGGAGGTACTGGTTCTCTGCCTCCTCCGAGTGGTATACACAACTGACCTCGGGTGAGTTGTCCAGGTCGCCCACGAACGCAAATGTGTTCATGGAGCGCTTGCACGAGTCAACCTGGATTTACAGGACGGGGTCCACATGTACAGGTCTCACACGGCAGGTCTGGATTTCAATGCCATTCACAGATGGAAAGGTAAAGCGGTGTTATCATTATTATTATCATCACTTATGATATATTATTATTTATATATATTATTCTTTATATACATTATTATTTATGATATAAATAATAATATTATTCTTTATATTATATCCTTGTTACATTGTTGTTGTGTGAAATCAGAACGCCTACAGGCAGGCCCCCGCACAGTACTCAGCTAGAGGTAGGCAACACCACCACTGCCAGCAGTGCCGGCGCCTAGGTGATGGATTTCTCCGTCGTGGAGCCCCGGGCTCAGTAAAATGTTTGAGTACCTATAGGCGACACCCTCGTACAATAGATAGGGACAGTCCCTACCTACTACACCGTGTATTAGGTAGAGTTGGGTTAGCCTTTAGGAAATGAAAGTCTTCTCATGTATATCTAATTTAGATCTAATTTGATTTAGGGTGTGTTCACATGTAGTCCAATTGAGAGTCTGATTGGGAGTCCGATTCGGGGCGGCTTTCTGAATTGTGTTCACATACGATTCGCTGCACGGCGCGAGGTGCCACCGCGCCCAGCTGAAGCTCCGCAGCTACGCCACATCACCCAAGGCAAGCCAGCATTATCTAGGAACAGAACAGTATAAGTATCGTTTCTATGGCGAAAATTATCACCAGGCTTGTACATACATAGCTGCAGGAGTTCGTGAAAAATGCTCGGTGCGCTTTGCGTGAATTAACAATTGGAAAATGTTCCTATAGTATTGTAATGGTAATTATGAGAAACGGTTTGTTAAACAACTTTGTTTTGAGAAAGAAAACTGTGAATCACGTCGAATCATACCCGAAGAGGCCCCCCCGGACCCCAATTCCGATTCGGGTCCAATCAGGTCCAATTCAGAGTCCAATTCGCATGAATCAACCCTGATTCGCCCACATGTGAACACGTCCTTAATGGGTTGCGGTTCGATTCTCGTATACTCCTCAAATGGGGACAGCACGGAAGAAAGGGCCGCTGAGAACTTTCCGACTGAAGTACATATATGTCAATGGTAGCACGTGCCTTAACGAAATTGGGGTGCTCCATGACATGCAGCGCTATGTTGCACTTATAGACTTATAGAAAAAAGAGAGCCAGGTTCACCAGGAAGACGGCATCCTGAGAAGCTGCTGCAACAAAGCTATGGAACAAAGCTACGCAACAAAGCTGCGTATGGAGCTGCCGTCATCAGCCCGTGCACGCTTGTGCGGCGACCCATCGTTGCCAATGTCGGTGGGTTCGTTGGTCCGGGGTTCGTAAGGCGCTGCAGCCTAGCTGGCCGGGGTTCCTTTCTTTATTAGGGCGGGGCCCCAGCGCGAAGCGCCCAGGGGGGCCCCGACCTGTAGGATTGCCCATGTCCGTGTGGCCGTCTGTGTGTAACGGACCAAACATAATATCTCGCCCGGCTAAAACGCGTTATTGGTACTATACAGCATTCTCTAGGGTTTGGGCATCCACACCTGCACCCACCCATCCTCGGACTCGCACATTACACCGCGCGGGTCTCCGGTTGCCACCGCTAGCAGGACACTAACTGACTACAACTTCCTGCCCCTGTCACCCGTCGGAAGCTCCACACGCCGCACTTCGCCCCTAGCACCCACCCACCCACCCACCCACCAACCAACCAACCAAGCCCAACCCAACCCACATGTCGTCATATTCCACGACACCCCATTCCCCTGCCACCGTTACCTGCTGAGATGACACGAGCTTCTTGCCCTCCAACACGTTCACATTGCTGCGGCGCAGAATGCAGCCCGGCTTGACCTCGGGTTGCGACACGTATACATTGAACCTGCAGTCGTGTGCGCGGCGTGGGGCTCATTCGTGGCTCACGTCAGGGTATCAAACGACGACACACGATGCACTGCAGCGCAACTGGCCGCCGTGTTATGGATATGCATGCCACAAAAGAAATGCCAGGAAAGCAGCAAAAAGAGCACTGCGGTGCTTGAACTTCTGTTTGTGCGACGGGAAAGACAAGAGCGAGAGGCCAGCAGCACTGAGGCGGGAAAGAGGAGAGAGCGAGAGGCCAGCAGCACGGTCGACAAGACGGAGATGAGTCCGATGACGTTTCGCGGTCTGCACTGGTCGCCTGGAGAGAGAGGAGGAGTCTCTCCTCTGTAGATGGAATAGATGGAGTAGATGGATTAGGTGGAATGTGGGATGTGGCGACGGACTTTGATATGGCGGTCATGCGGTTGTGAGGTTCTGCAGCAGCAGCAGCAGCAGCAGCAGCAGCAGCAGGTCGCGACCAGGAGAAGCGGTTCGGTATCCCCGCGACCAGCAGCAAAGCGATGGAACGGTCCATACGAATCGAAGGGGCGAGGAGGTGCAGGGCTACGAGCGCGGCGGGGTAGAGCAAACCACTGTATGATAAGGAGCGGAGGCCTCTTCGCAAGTAAGGGCATCTCCAAGTGCACGTTGTGCGCGTTGGAGGACACGTTGTGCGCGTTGGAGGACACGTTGTGCGCGTTGGAGAGGAGGGGAGGGGAAAGGAGGGGAGGCAGAGCAGAAATCCACGCGGGCGACAACCCCGAACCCCAACTACCCTCCAGCCTCACTGTGCGGAGTCCCCCCTTGCTCGCGCCATGGGAACGCAAGTCGGTTGTGCACGTGCTGCCCTGGAAAAGCCGTCGCTGCGACGTCTTTAATGTTGTGGTGCATAAGAATGCACAGAATGCCAACACAGCGCTCGGGCTTATCTCTTCAAGTTGGGGGCTAGCACTCTGGGCCGGGCTGAGATAGACATCGGGTACGGTGCAAGGCCGGGCTAGGGGGAGGCGCAGAACCTGCACCGTAAGTTCTATCCCGTCCAACAGGCACTTTAAATCCTGATGGCTCTTCGGATGCTCCGAAACCAGCGCCATGCAGATCAGAGTGAATAGTGTGTGTTGCAAGGCCAGCTTGGCAAATGTTCCCTGACACCGCACATAACACGCGCCCAGCACTGTAGGGGGTAGGAGGAATAAAGGTTTTCAGTTGCTCATCCCGCCTTCCTTCGGATATTTGCGATGTAATCGAAGCCGTGTATATGGATGTGCAGGAGTTCAACTCACGGGTTGAAGGACACAAAGAGTCGCTGGTCAAACGCCATCGCACTGTAGCCATAAGCCATGCACAGCTCCGAATTCGGCGTGCGCCTGTCCACGATCTCAGTCGAAGCTACATTCGTTGGCGACAGTGTTATGTTGCTGTCAAAGTAAACTCCGATGCCCCTGCGCGCCCAAGCGATAGCAATTGTGGGATGGGGAAACCGTTGCAAAGCGGTTGGCTAAGCGACAGGTCGACCATAGCTGCGCTAAAACTTACACTCCCGTGACGAAAGCAGCAGCAATCAATGCGCGAGTGAAACTGTCGCCTCCTCCGGTATTGTTGTTATTGGGCGGAGGGGCGCCGGGCGGCGGTGGAGGAGGCATGCTGGGCTGCCGGGGTGCAGATGACGGTGGCGGCGGATAGTCATACACGCCCGGCTTCCATGTTGGCAGGGTTCCAGTCGGAGGGCCGGCGGGCCCGGCTGGTCCAGGTCCACCGCCGCGCGGGTCCTTCATGTACTGCGCCACGCAAGCAACGCCGCCTTCGCGCCGTCGTCGCCGCATCGATGTCGTAGCATAGCTTGTACTTGCTTCGCTTGCCGGCCTGAATAATGTCGTTACGCTGCGATGGTTGAGCGTGGGCATGGCTTACACTTTAGGAAACTATGTTGTAGGATTCTTAAAAGAAAAATATCCCCTTGATCAATAAACCTAACGTTAAGGAATGCGCCTTGCTTGCAACGTATTCACGTTACAGCTCAATATTGAGAGTGCGTTCACAAATTTGCAGAAATGCTTCCTCCAACGTGACGTAGGAATGCAGCAGTGCACACGTTTCGCAGGAAATAGCTTGAGAAATTTTGACAAGATATCGGTAATGGGTAACAGGAAGAACGTTGTGTTGCACTGGAACCAGGCAACCGTATGGTCAGATACGGTTGACGAACTCCCAACGCCTGCGAGACAAATGCAGGCGCCTTAGGAATCAAAAATGTTCATTGCTTAGAGCTGCAGACGTTCTGGGTACAATCTTTCACGGAGGAGCAAGTTTCGTTTCGCCACAGCGACACCGTTCCGCGGATCACAATCGATAGCTGCCCAACATGGACATCGAGCGAACGTTTAGGTTTTCTATTGGACATTCTGCCCGCAGACAGGCGCTAAGTTTTGTAAGTTGGCTCGTTAGGTTTTGGCCCATGGGTCGCACGCGATGCTGAAACTCCCGATGATGAGACACCCCAACCAGCCTAGTACCGTGTCCATATTCTGGTCTCCACGCACTTCCAATTCACGTAAAATCTCTACTTTCAAATAGGGCCCGGAGCGCGCGATGGCTCTCAGCTGGCCGTCGGGGCCGTATCTCTTACTAAGCACAGCCGCTGGCGTCCAAACGGCCTGAAGAACGCGACGAAGGCGATTGGCCATGTACATCAAACCTGAGGCGGCTAATCCGAAAGAGGTGGCTCCATGATCATGAACACCCATGGCGCAACAAAAGCGATCCGAAACCGTTTGTACTGCAGACAGCAGTTATTAGTTCTGTCTCCCCCCTCAAGGTGGACACGTGATCGATCCCCATGATCGATCCAAGTGGAAACGAAGTAAAGCGCCTAAAACTAAAACAGCTCTGGAGGCTTTGACACATTGAGTAACCAGTAGCCGTTACGATACATTTTCAAGACCTTGCTTTGTAGATAGACTGCTGGGAGATGGACTGCATCATCTGCCTCCCGAGCGTACAGCACAAGTTTTTTGGTGTGCAGCACCACGTCCATATTGGCATCACCGTGTGTCGGCATCACCGGCGGCAGTGCGCACGACGCATACATAGATCGTCCGGTCGCAGCAGCGTCCGCAGTTGGGAGGATGGAGAACTGAGCAGCTCTATGGCGCTACAGCCCTGACGTGCGAATTCCATGCGAGCATGTGGATATACATACATGGGCAGCACACATGGGCTTACTGATCCCACGGGCCGCCACGGACGGGGGGGCTATGGACCGTGGTCGGCATAATTGCGCTTGTCATTAGTTATTGTACTGCTGAACGCAACGAACACCGGAAACACCAAGAGAATAACATCACCACCCTGCCGGCTCACCCAGCTACCGGCCATAGGCCATTTCGCTAGCTAGCCGGGTAATAATGCACGTGGGCCAGTGGCCACGACCGACCGCCGACGAAACCCGCCCGTGACGCCGTACATCCTGCCATTTGAATTCCGGCGCAACAGCAACGTTAACGCTGCCACAAGATCAACCGCAGCAGCAAGCTAGCGCAAATCCCAAGAATTTATTATCTTTCATAAGTTCGCAATAATAATATAGGAATATGAGGCGTTATAAGTAGTGCCCTCCCGCTCCCTTTTCGCTGGTACGGCTGCCCATTGTGGTTGTTAGGGCTTGTCGTTCCTTTCCCTCGACGCCCCGCGCTTGCCAGTGTCTTTCCACATGAAACAGCGACGAACACATCACAACTCTTCGTAAACGATCGTAAACAACACTTTGCAAACCACATATATGATGCACAGCAACCCCATAACAACACCAGCACGGCTTCAGTCCGCAACGTCTATGGGACAGCGTGCACATGGTGCTAGAAGAGCATGCCTGCATGCCTGAAGTTTTCCTCTTCATCAGTAATGGGTTCTCTGCAGCGTGCGTACCGCGCCTGTAGCCGCGCTGGTCCAATATAAGTGCTACTGCTACTATTGACGCTTACTCTGCGCTCCTAGCAATAACCGGCACCTGGGTATCCTGTACGGCACCCGCCCACCCATTCAGCCTGCAATATTGTTTTGTCACTTTCGCATCCGCCCCCTTGCTTGGACTGTCGTGGCATGAGTTCACTCCGCACGGCCCGTGTAGTCGCTGTACATAGTACGGCGCACATATCATTGGTGAATACACGCACGCTAAGGGTTGCTCCACCAGCATGTATAGAGGCCTTTCCAATGGCCAGCAGCTACTACAAGGTCCCCGCTATCCTCGTACTCCTTCAATAACATTATTTGAATTGTATAATATACGCACATTACATCAGTATAACAGTATAACACCGCAGCCGTGTACCTCCAGCATCACATATTTCTTCCGGTCGATGCAGCATGCATGCCGCCCTGCCCTCCTGAGTCCCCGAAACGTTGCCCCAAAACAGTTCCTCAGCGGAGCGCACGGTACCCGCTCATATCGGCCCTGTAGCGCAATTATGGTTCGTGGCCGAATATGCACCATGCAAACCTGCTTCGCTTCACAATCTTAATAGGCTTTCTTAACCTACCGTTTTGCTCGCCCACGCCCTCGTCCCAGCTCATTCGTTTACCTCATAACATGTTGTTGGGAGAGAGAGATGCACATAGTCCACCAGCCTCACGTCGAGAGTCCACGCTGGCCAGACAGCTGGAGCACCCTTTCTTGAAGGCGAGCTCTTTCTTGGTCGCAATAATAGAAATACAGCCTTCCCCTACCCTGCCTGACTTCTGAAGGAGGTGTGCGCTCTTTGACCCTAGCTCTGAAGATACCACCGGCAGCACAGCACGGCACCCAATCCCCCTTCTGCACCGTAGCCACTGCGCCTGCTGCGAAGTACCCGCTATCAGGCCATACATCCACGTTCAGCACACCATGGCGGATCTCTCGACAGTATCCAACTCCTCGGCCCGTCATGGTGTGCACCTGCGCACACGTGTCATGTACGTAACGCCAGCACGCTCAAACGAGTTGCCTCTTGGGGCCCTCCGGACGTCTTTGGGTCACCATCATGTCCGCCGGCCCCAGCATGCACCAGGGCGCCATTGCACCCTTGTGCCCTCTAACTGGTCACCCCGTCTGTAGTAGCTAGCCGCTGAAAAGGCCTCTCGAGATGCTGGTGGCGGTCGCGCTTCGCGCGTATTTGTAGAGCCGTACTGTGCCGTACCAGCTACTACACCGTCTGCATGACGACGCAGGTAGATAGAGGGGACAGGCCTGTCAGGCCTCACCACCAGCACCGCTGCTGCCGCCAGGCACTACCCGAACTGTGGCGGCCTGCTGCACCACCTCAACACCGAGACACGTCTCTTTACCCCTCAGCCGCTTTAGCCCTTGCTGTCCCTCCCCTTCATCATCCCTCTGATGGTCCATCAACTGGCGCATTAGCATGGGCAGGTCTGCTTGCAGCTGGTCCTTTGCCAAGGCCACCCGCACGGCTCGAAGGAAGTCACCCACTACCCGCTGTTGAAGGTCCAGGACGGCGGACAACTCCTCACCCTGCGCCCAGGTTTATGTCCATCACAGCGGCCAAGGGAATATAACGTGACGCGACACAACATGAAGCCCACAGGTTTCCTGTCATGCGTATGGCCCCGCTCGTGTGTGTCATCCCTGATGTGATTATAACCCTACACTATCTACCTAATCAAAGTGAATCACCTCAAGCTGGAGCCCACCAGACGCTGCCTGCCGTCACCGCATATATCAAAAGGCGCCTCCTCACGAAGGGATATATATCCCCGGGGCAAAGCCTCTTATCATTATCCGGATAGACTTCGAAAAAGCGTCTGGTAAGGTCCCACGTGAATTGTTGTGGTTACACCCTATCTATGGTCCCTATTCCAGGCCATACTTAAATCTTATGAGAAGGCTTCCATGACGATGGAAATAAATAGTGTGGTTGGAGAGCATTGAGACTCTCGTCAAGGGGTAAAATAGGGCTGCCCCCCGAGGCCTAAAGCCGAAAACCCAAAGCGCAAATAATTCCATGCCTACCTGCGGGAAGTACCAAGAGAACAGGGGTGTCTCCTCATTCTTCTTCAGCCGCACCGCCGTGAAGCCGCCGCGCCCGAACACCAGCCGGCGCAGCAGGTTGCCGATGGCGGCAAAGACCAGATGCAGCAGGTTGAAGGGCGGGGAGATGGCCTCACGCCGGCTGAAGGAAGCCATAATGACGGCCTTCCGGTACCGGAACTCTACCTGAGCCTTATTAGAGACGCGCGCGTATGTATCTACGTATGGCAATACAACAGAACGAGGGCAATGTATAAGGATGGCAGTACGACAAAGTTATTAAGGCCATGGTGTTGGTTTCGGCGGTGCGGTAAAGCCCTGAATCCATTCCCCTCCCCAACCCACAGCCTTTCAGAGCCTTTTCCTACATCCTGCATCCAATCCACTGCCCGCTACCTCCGGGTCCCCCCCCTATCACCTACTACACATAAAAGATGTGTTCCCTTTATAGCACACAAAAGTCCTAGTTTTTCAAGCTTCTATCTTTACCAAACATACTATGTTCCGGGATCGAGACCTGTCAGGGTCGAAAAATCCTTCTGATGGCGTAAAGGTGAAAGTGTCCCTAGTCGATGGACGGTGGTGACCTGGAATAAAGTTGACCTGCGAGCTGACCAGGAACGGAGTTGAAACACCGTTGATCGGCAGATTCCCTTGGATGCCGGTGGCGGGTGCTGAAACTGAGCGATCCACTGAGGAGCTGGCTAAGGTGACTGGATGAGGGTGCCCCGAAATACCGCGGAAGGCAGGGTCTGCCGGGTAGCGGCCACAGGGTTTAGATATGAACCCCCTGTCCCACTCATCATCATATTATGCTTTGGCATAGGCGATGCTTTCACCTCTGAATTCCGATACAGTTTGGATTGGGGGGCCCTGCTGGGACTGACGCACCTGCCAGCATGGCGATGAAGAGGTTGAGCATCAGGATGCTCGTGATGACCGCGAAGACTAGATAAAAGATGAGTCCCGTGACGCGCTTCTGCTCGAAGTCGGTCACCGGCATGCTACCTAGGGCAACGTACTGCAAGAAGCAAGGGACAGCAAGGAGCAGGAGAGGATGAGAAAGAAAACACCATCACGCCTGAGCCGAAGAGGCGATTGGGAGAATTTGCAGGCGAGAAGAGCCGCCGCATCCGCCAGGCGTGCGCACCGTCCATTCAGTCGAGCATGCGAGCATGCGAACGTCAAACGGGCGGAAAACGTGACGAAGGCGTTCTTTCATGAGCTGTGACGTGCGGCTAGCCGGTAGGAGATACATTATAGTTTGCATGGCCTTGGGGTCACGTGTTTCTATGACCTTTCTGCATCCGTAGAGGCTCGCATGCAATCGATGGTTCGGGTTGTCTGACACAACGACACACACACACACACACACACACACACACACACACACACACACACACACACAGTCACCTGAAGGAAAGCCATACCCCCCAGCAGTCCGTGTTTTTGCCAGTTGTACGCCCAGCTGCTGTACTTGACGCAGTCGCCGCTCACGCCCATCTCCACGCACACATCCTTAAAGAGTGCCTGGGTATGAGGCACGTGAAAAATGAGGTCACGGGACATGGGGAAGGAGGGGTGAGTGTTAGCCGGTGACAGTGCGGGAGGAGGAGGAGGAGGAGGAGGAGGCGTTGCGTAAAGGATAACACAGCGGGGGATAAAACGCGGGTGATGCATTATGATGCACTGCAGAGGCGCCACAGCGCCGCACTATTAGGGATTGCTCCCGCGGGCTGCCCTCTCGCGGACAGAGGCGGTCACCACAGCCCCTGACCGCCCCTGCTGACTCAAACCCCCATGCCATGCCAACACCTCACCCCACCCACCTCCATGCCCACAGTGAAGCCCAGCAGTATCACGATCACCAGCAATGCGAAGCGAGTCACGTCTTGGAGCAGCATCTGCATCCACCATAACATAACCCTTGACCTCAATGTTTGGAAAAGCAGGGGTACGCGACGACATCGAACAAGACATGTTCTGGGAAGGAGTCGGGGAGGGAAAGGGGACGCTCGGTTGGGATGGGATGGGATATACAAGGGTTTTAGGGTGCAAAGCGCAGCAGGATGGGTAAAGGCCTATCTATGGTACTGCAGCATCAGCAATAATGCCGTATGCCATGTACGGGTGGTGTCCAAACAGCCAACCGTCACAGATGAAGAGGCCGTAGCGGGTTTGCTGGCGGGCATGGCGTCCTTATCTGGCAATGAACATAACTGTCCATAAGAGTGCGTGTCTCCCCTTTACCATCAATCTCAAGCAGTATTACGTCGTAAGCTAAACGGCTCGGCCCTACTTAATGCACGCCAGCCATTGGTCCATGACACGTCTTCGTTCTACCACGGACGATGCAGGCGGGCCAATGCCAACTAACACTGTACATGCAGCCATCCAGCCATTCCCAACCAACCGGTCCGAATGCCAGGCTTCGATTCAAATACTGTACATATCAAGGATCTTGCCTGCTTCATCATTTGAATAAGCGGCCCGATGGACGATGACAGCTCAAACACGCTCACGACGCTGCGCAGGAGGTAGACAAGCGGAAGTGATGCAGGAGGAACGGGAACGGGTACAATTTAAGGGTCAGTCAAAAGTCAGGTAAGGAGCCCCTAAAGACCACATGCACAACATGCACATATGCACGCACGTTTAGTAAAGCTATTCACTCACCACCATCGCCATGTCCCTCACAGGGGCCCATCAACTCACTAATACACGCACACCTACCGGAACCACGCCATGAGCGCAGCCGCCGCCAACAGGTCGTTGACACCCAATAGGACATTGATGTTGCGGGCGTCCTGGACTGCCACGATCTGTATTTAGACAGGCGCGTATTGGCAGGCCGCGGTGCGCCCCGGGGTCCAACACACGCCAAAGGGGCCCCATGGGGTCATTGATTAGAGTGGTATGAGTTGTAAGAGGGGGAAATAGACACATTCTTCTTTGATAAATCTCGTCTTTGCCATAACAAATATTGATCCTCGCGCTCGAGGTCTCTCTGGACACCCATGTATGTATATGGCGGGCACTAGGGACGCGGTGAAGGTCATCCGCCCAGCCATCCGTTGCTAGGTTTTGCCCCAGGCCGCTCTATCTGCCCATACCTGCTGCTCCCTGGAGCCGCACATCCCTTCCCCATGCAGCCGCATTCACATTCACATACGCACATCCATCCCCTGGCTCAATCCCTGGCATATGTCATTAGAAGCAGCGTTTGTCCACCCCCTTTAGGTGGTCCTAGGTTCGGTCTGTTGGCGGCTATCCCTCTCTGTCCAGCATCCCTTCCTCCCTAATCACGTGCCCAGCATCCCTTCCTCCCTAATCACGTGCCCAGCATCCCTTCCTCCCTAATCACGTGCCCAGCATCCCTTCCTTCCTAATCACGTGCCCAGCATCCCTACCTCCCTGCTTACGTGCTTACTTACGTGCTTATTACCTACCTACCTGCTTACCTACCTGCCTATCTTCTACCTGGCTTCTTCCTACCAATCTGCCTTCCCTAGACTCTTAGCCACCCAGCACCGGCACAAGTCGCACACGTCAGACGGACGGCGCACCCCAATTCTTATCAAGTACTGCAGCAGGAAGGCGGTGGACATGGTGACGTCCAGGAGGTTCCAGCCCGAGGCCATGTAGGCGGTGCGGCCCTCTTCAAAGAACTCCTGTGCATATTACAAGTAAGGAGGAACATGGCCTACGTCAAAACATGCAGCGCGATCAGCCAATGCTCCTGCCTGCCTGTCGGTCTGACTGTCAGTCAGTCAGTCAGTCAGTCAGTCAGTCAGTCAGTATGTATGTATGTATGTATGTATGTATGCATGTAGCTTTTGAGGTGCGGAGAAGGGACGGGTGGAACATGAAATGTTGTCGACCAATCGGAATTCACTTACCTAAAAGCATATTTATCTTCACACACATAGGAAACACATCCACATCAACACAAGTTAGGAACACATACACACCCATACACACCCACACACATGCACACCGGCCCACACTCACTGACACGCAACCATACCCCAATGAACCAAACAAGCTGCCATTGCGTCATCCGTTTCCCTCATCCAACCCTTAAACTAATAACCACCCGCTGTACCCCCTCGTACATTGGTAGTCCCAATCTCGCACTTTCTAGTTCCTACCTGCGCCTCGTCGACCAGTATGGCCAGGCACCACAGGGCCAGCAGTGTGTTGACTGGGCTCACGGAGGAGCTCACGTTGGCGTCAATGCTGTCGGAGAAGACCTGAGGTAGAGCAACAGCAGCCCCAGCCGCATCCACAGCAACAGCAACAAATGGGTAGGAGGAGATGGGATGGTAAGGGATACACGCAGGTTGGTAGGGCCCTGGTGGGGGGCCTCTGATGGATACGACAACACAACGAGGAAACGGAACGCAAAGCAGTGATCATCATCAATCGCCCGCGTTCATACGTACGCCCATCTAAAATTTCGCCCTCATAACCCCTTAGCCCCCTACACCCCTTTGCCCCCTACACCCCTTTGCCCCCTACACTCCTTTGCCCCCTGCACCCCTTTGCCTCGTGCGCTGGAACCCAGCCACGCGGTGCAGCAAGGCAGTGTAAGTAGCACCCATCATCGCTGTGAACTGGACAGACAATTGCCGGCAGCTAGAGGGCCTACAACTAATACAGCTAAACAAGCCCACTTAGATCGCAGAGATAAACACTCACGCGGTAGCTGAGCAGCACTACAAACACAATTAGGGAGCACTGCGCTAGCAGCCAGCGGTATAAAGGCACATGCCAGGGAAATCGGCTGTCCACAATGACTTTGCCGCGCTGCAGGAAGTCTTCCACGGGGGAGAAGAAGGACCTGGGCTCGGGTGTGAGGTGGAAGCGAGGTGGGGAGTGGCAGTAGCGAAAACCTAGGAAGGGGCGAACATGTCGCAGCGTGGCTGTACAGTATGATCGGGTCCTCCCCAGCTGCCTTAAGCCATTTCCAAAACGCAAACGAGATCGGCTTTTATCAGCCATGAGTTCAGCCATGAAGAAACAGACATTACGCATCCATTCAGGCAACCAATCCGCCCCGAAATCCTAGCCATCAAACCTGCCTTAAACAATCCAACACGCGCACCCCCCAAACCCAGTTGCCCTTCGCCATCCCTCACTGCATAGATGGCCTCCATCCACCCCCACGCCCACTCACCCCTCGCCCAGCAGGGCCCCCAATGAAGCGCACCCACCTCAGGATGATGGCCACTGGGCAGACCACCGCCCATCCGCTGTACGACAAAACCAACATCAGTAACAACCATACCACACCCAGAACGCTGCGGAAGTAGTCCGTGATTCCCATCGTGTCTGCATGCATGCATACACACGTGTGGCATGACGACGCTGAGTCCGAACCCCCATCCATATGCATGCATTCTTGACTCGCTAGATCTCAGTTTGCCCCCGTAATGGATGGATACACGCATGCACGCGAATACGCGCATGCTCGAATGCGTGGCACGCATATAGATTCACCGCACCTGTGCATCAGAGCCTGTACGTCACAGCCTGTGTGTCAGAGCCTGTGTGCCAGAAGCCTGTGCATCAGAGCCTGTGCGCACTCGCTGGTGCGCGTGATCCTGTCCGTGTATGTCAAGTGTCATTCCATCAGGTGCGCATCCTGCTGCCATCCCAGTAGCCTTTCCTCAGGGCAGACTCAGCTTCACGCAACAACCACGACAGATGTCAAATATCAGTGGTGGCAGCAGCTAGCAGTAGCAGCAGCAGCAGCAGCAGCAGCAGCGGATGTATACATCTGCCTACTTTTCGCAACACCGGAAGGTTTGTCATCACCCTACTTGGCTACTCACCCCACTTTTCCGTGAAGATTTGCTGTATGTACCTGGCAGGTTGGGGGCAGGTTGGGGGCAGCATCAATAAGGCGAAGAGAGGCGGCGAGAACAGAGGGAAATGGCGGCGGGGCCCGCCGGGGGTGAAGGTAAGCAATAAGTAAGCAGATAGGGAAGGCGCCCGTGCTAAATCGCTAACCAGCAGACATGACGGCTGGCTGGCGGACTGGCAGCATGTGCTCGCATGTTGACTACTAAGGGATCTTGCCGGAGCCTAAAAACCCAGTAGATCAAAGATGAATGTAGAAACGCTCATGCGGCTCATCTGATCCTTGTGCAATTTGAAACAAGGACAAAGGTCGCTTCGTTGCCCAACCCGCGAAGGTCTACGTGGCTAGCCAACCCCTCTGCTTTTCCTGGCGTGCTGCGTATCCCTTATGCAGCACCATTCACCTCCACCCGCATATACCTGTCCTCCGGGGGCCCCCCATCGTCACCCCTGAAGTTCTGCCTCAATACATATACGCACTTACACAGCCCTATACGCATTCCTACACCTACCTACCTACCTACCTACCTACCTACCTACTCACCGTAAAATACACATCCCACAGCCATGCATGGGCCCCCCTACATACGCACTCGTCGCTTGCTCCCACCCGCTCACACACGTCTTCTTTCCCCCACCCCTACCTCCAGGCACGTTTCCGTTACGTGCAACACTTACTTATGCGACAGAAAGGCCTTATCAAAGGTAGCCAGAGCAAAGCCCACCGGCTCAGACGGGTCCAAGTCTGTGGGGGTGAGCACCGACTGCACCTCGGATTTGTTGCGGCACGTGTCCAGAAGCTGCACCTCCCAGCTCGTGCAAGCGGCCACCAGATCGTCGAAGTACCGAGCCTGCTGCAGTAGGGACTGCGCAAGTGGCCGCGCGCATGGGATGAGGGCCGGGTGGTACAGATGTGTGACGTTATAATAAAGAGGGTAGGCGCGGTGGACTTCGCAATAGCACCACTTAAACACACGAATGAGGATGAGGACGGCGGGATCGGCATCAGGTGCGTAGTTTAACGCTGGCTTTCGACTTTACTCACAGCACTAACCCTGTAAGGCTACTGAAGCATTCAGGTCGGCGGTGAGGGGATTGGGAAAGACTGTTGCTAGGTAGAGATGAGGAGAGTAGGGCAGGGCAGGGCGAAGCCATGGGGGAAGATTGGTGCAATCCCGGGCATCCGAGGGAGCGCGGGAGGACTGAGTATTTTGGGTCCGAGCGAGGCCCAAGGTTGGGATACGGGGGAATGACGACCAGGTATTTAATGGAGATTGGGCAAGCAAGCAAATGAGCAACGCATGCGCGCCATTCATTCACAGGCTCCGACCGATGAATGGTGCCGCCGACATAGCATCAAACCAGCCGGTAGTATCCTGTAGGGCTTGTCACGGGATCTGCATCCGCCGATCGGTACTTCCCTGAAGTCGTGATGTAACAATCTTAGCCTTAGCCTAACCTCTTGATGTTCCGTTAACCACCTAACAACCCTTTAACCGCCCAGCTACCGGGCCGACCGTCTAACCTGGATATACATGATGACGCCCATGCAGTTCATTCCCCCCTGGACTGCTGACGTCACCACGTCTAAGAGCATCTCCCGGGTTATGTGCACCTCCTTGGAACCGCTGCCGCCTGTCGCATGCACCACCACGTCATCAAAAGGGCAGCAGCGCGGGCGTGGTGCGTGTTAATTATTGTCTGGACGCCAGAACATACAGCCGCCACGAAGCCCAGCCATACTTTACTTGATGAGAAGGAATGGGAAGTGGTATGATAAGAATGTGCGTGTTCACGTGCACGTGCAGCCTAGGGTCGCGTACCCCAGGTATGTCAGCATGCATGGTACCATACACAGCACAAACACGTATATTTAACGTCTCGTCCGAAATAGGTCAATGATTAATGGGCATGGCGACCATGCCATCCAGAGCATTGTACCTGATGGTTAGAACGCGCCCGCCGTGCATGGAATGCCGATGGCTGATGCTGTCATGGTAGCTGGCGGACCGGCATCTGGAGTTGCTAACAGAACTCTGCCTATTGTCCTACCTATTATCTACCAGGAGGCAAGAGTGCCATGTCTGACCGGGAAACTCATCTAGCGTAGGATGCAATAAGTGTGCCGTCTGAACACGGGCAGGGATGCGTGGCCGTAAGCACACTCAGGAACCAGGACCCCACTCACATCCCCCGGGGGGAGCAGCACTGCCTGGTGGCCGCTAACTCCCGGGCCGCTGTCTACCTCGAGCCCGGCAGTGCTCCCCATGGATGAACAAGCGTTCCCAACTCATCGACAAAGTTGTTCCTAAACTTACTTGGACTGTCCAGCACGAAGGCGGAAGGTAGGCGAGTCAGAGCCCCGACGCCGTCATCGGTGCTGCCGGCTGCGGCCCACTTCTTACTGATACCGCCCACACCGCTGCCGGGCTCCCGGCCAACAGCGCCGATGACACCGCCGCGCGGTTGGCGGACGGCTGCACAACCCGTTCCCTGCTGCTGCTGGTCCGGCAGCTCGGCCCAGCTGTTGTCATAAATGCCCGCCGCTGTTTTCAAAGAGCGCTGGCTTACGTTCCGGCTGCTGCCGCGGCCACCGGCGCCGTCGCCGCCAGCGGCACTCTTGGCCGGTGGCTCTGGCGCCACCACCGCCGCCGCCGTGGCCGTTGCCGGGTTGTAATTAATGGCTGCCAATACCTACTCGAGCGGATGCAGGGAAAGCGACGCGCAGGCAGCGGGCAGCAGGCAAGGGCACGGTGACGGAGGCAAAGTATACCCCACCCAGGCGATCAAATAGGGCGGAGAATTCTTGGGCATGCATGGAAACGATGGTAACAGAAGCATGCATGCGGTTCAACAAGGCGCGGTCCACTGGCTTTCGATGCGCGAGACCAAAAGCGTTGCAATATGGGCTAAGCAGGTAGGCTTGCTGAACAAAGCGCGGACGGGCCCCTACCGCGCAGCGTCTCTCGCTCTCCCCCCGTCACCACCGCCACGTCACCTCTTGGAAGAAGCCACGGTTGCTTGCCGGGTCGTAGTCGCGGCAGTGGCCTGCCAGGCGGGCCAGGAGAGACACCAGCTTCCACCGGGTGCGCACCACCAGCGGCTCCGTACAGTCCGGGGGCAGCAGCTTGAACAGCGAGCGCACCAGCAGCACCTCGATGGTGTCGGAGTGGCCCTGGGAGGCCGCCCAGTCCATCTACCAGCCATGCAAAGCACCCAAAGGGACATGCATGCGCACATGTTCGTGTGAAACACGTCACAGATACATACATACATACATGGCTGCAAGACGTCTTGTGGTGTCGAGCTCTCTTGGAGTTTTTTCTGTTGGCTTGTTAGGTGTATCAGGAGCCCTCCCCTGCCTGGGCTGCCTTAACCATCTTTTTATTTTTTTTTCCCCTTGGGATCCCTTTGTCTTTAGCTGTGTTGTGGGGGTTGTTTCAGAGAGCCTTTGACTTTGCCCTAGCTGAGACATGTGGACTCGCTCTAGCAGGACCTGAGAGCCCTCCGTGATGTATTCACTGCAGCGCCATCCCCGGATGGAGTGGCTGCGGAGTGGCCGCGTAGAGTGTTGGCAGTCTGAGTCGGGGTCGGGAGCACAGAAGGCTAACCGACGTGTGCTGTGTGCTCCCGACCCTTGCGCTGTGTTTCGGCTTCGGCCCCCCGCTCTCGCGGCCCACAGTGTAATCAAAGTCATACATACATACATACATACATACATACATACATACATACATACATACATAATTACGTACATACATAACTACATACATAACTACATACACATACACAGAACGCCCAAGCGGGCGCATGCGCAGCCATACGATAGCTGTGAGGATATGTAAAGCCACAGTACGGTTGTGCATGAAGAATCACGGGGGTGCCCGCAATGTACACATATCGTATCGATGCTCCCTCCCCGCCATCGACGCCATGCTTCACTCACCGCCGTCTTGCCCAGGATGTCTCGCTGCTTGAAGAGATCCACATTCTGAAACTTGCCCTGCAGGTCCAGATCTATGATGTAAAGCATCGTCTCCAGGTGACCCTGCCGTACGCATGGCCGTACAAGTACAAAGTCGTACACGTGATATCAGTAATCGTGGGGAGGAGAAGGGGATTCTGGCCCACATGCACACTGTCCCACAGGAAAGTTTGTGCAATCCGCCGACATGTCGAATCAGGAAGTTCACCGCTGCCGTTCAGATTTCACAGAGTAAAAGATTTTTAACACTGCAGGCATTGGACCCGGGACACAACAGCTCAACGATTAACGGGCTTCGTAAGGACGTGCCGTCACGAGTAGTAGGCCCCACCTGGTACGCAGCTACCATGGCGCTATTCTTCCCGATCCAGCATCGCGTGGTGTGCATCCGCAACAGCTCCTCCAATCCTGAACAGAACTCCCGCTCCACCAGCTGAAGAATCTGTACGCATAGGAGTGCCCAGGCGATCCGGCGGCATTCACTCTCGGATTTTGCAGGGCCGAGAGTGTGATTGGGTACGGTAGCGAGCCACCGGGGCCTTCCCATACGTTTCCGGCCTTGTCGAGCTATGCATACCAGCCGACGCGCGAGCCTGCGACCAGACCGTCGACCCATTCATGCCCGCGAGCATGCATGGCGCACGATTGTAACGTACCTTGTACTGATTGCCGTAGCATGCGTACAGAATACTGCTGTAATGGTACGGAAAGTCCACTTGCAGTACCTCCTGACCTTCCAGCTTCAGTTTCCTGCAGGCAGGCAGACGGACAGACGGACATGCACACACGCATTTGTGAGAGAACGGGATGTGAGCGAAATGGCGGCTTCCTGCATAGCTGACTGGCAGACTGTCCAGACGAACGGGCGCGAAGTAGACCAGTGAACGCGACCGAGCAAGCTGGGAATGCGAGCGCCCTGGAGTGAGTGCGCGTCACGAAGGGTGCCGTGCTGACGCAGCTACGTTACGTATGGCGTCCTGGGCTGCGAGCACTCTGGAATGGAAAAAGTACGGCGTCCTGCATGTGCCGTACATGTATCCTGCGCACGTGCAAGGTAGGCGCCTGCAGCTGCCACTGCTGAGCAAGTGCGCCGTACAACACACACTAGCCAGCGCGTGAAGGAAGTGCTGGCAGGGTTGGCTCGTCCGCTCGCCGCCCCAACGTCATGCAGCCGTAATTGCGCGTGCTCTGTGCACTTTGTCGCCGGCTCTCTTACGAAGATTGTGTTTTTTGCTTAGGTGTTCTGCCATGCATGTGTGACAACTGCCCGGGTCATGAACGGAAATCTTCTGTTGTAAGTTATTAGCTGACCATGGCTCGCATGCGAACGAATGTTCTAGGGCAACTGCGGGCATAAATGAGTTTTTTGTTACGCCGAATAAACGTTTGACATGAACGCAAGCGTACGCCCCCGTTTCCCTTTCGCGTGTTTGGTGCGTTTAATGGGACGCTCGTACTAACACGCTAGCGTGTTGCGGTGCAGACAGCCCCAGGCCCCTCCGAGGCTGCATGTGTATAAGTTTACCTGTATTGCTCTATGAGCCCGAGCTCGGCGGCTGTAATGAGAGTTTGCTTATCACCCACATCTTTCAACCGCTTCAGCCCATCCTCCTCGTTATGGCTCCGGCTCATAGGCAAGGAGTCACCAGGCTTTCCCGGCGGCTGTTTGAGTCGACGATTCTTGCAGTGCAAAGCAAGGCCATAATCTGAAGCACTGCTGTTAGTGGAATCACGCTGATTGTTTACTGCTAAGTCACCACTGAGGCTCTGCGCCACTCTGTTTCCCCTGAAGATTTGGCTTGCCATTCTTAAAGTAAGGCCAGGTCCAGGCACAAACGACTCTGACCAAATGCATCAACTTCAAAATGTTCGTGTTGTTAATGTATATGTAAGCAATAGTAAGCTGCCGTCAGTGGTAATCACATCGTCCAACCTCATATTCGACGCTCGATACGCAATAGTGTGCGCCATCATCCCATAATGCCTTGACCATGTATTAACAATACACCAACATAAAACATAAGTATGGTCACATCCATCTAAGGAAACCCCATGAAAATGTTTGTATTGCCATGTACAACAGGACTTGAATGCTGTAATCAAGCACCGTCGAACATGCCTGCCAGCAAGCGTTTTACGTCCCATATTTCCGTGATAGAGATTTATTCGTTCAGATCCATTCCTCTCTATGAGGAATGGCTTTGACAGGTCAAATCAAAGTGCTTACGTTTAATACTTGGGGACTGCCCTTGGCCTCTAAGGATGACAAGCTGCGCCTCCGGTAACCTGCCTATCCGTTTGCCACATCACATTTCTTTCAGCTCTGTCGACCATATGAGAACTCTCAATAGCGTAATGAATATGTTCAAACCTCCGAAAGCCAGCGCGTTCACTTCCCACACGCACGTGACACGGTCACTGCTCTTTCTGTCGTTCTGTACCTATACCTTACCCGCAGGAACCAGGCTGACTACTTTAGACAGACAGGGAAGGACCTGGTGCGTGAGCAGGATTGATTGATCCAGGTGTTGGGATCGGGATTCTAGAGAATGCGTTTGTTCGCGCTGGAGTGCGTTTCCGGGGTGAAGGAGGAAGAAAAAGTTGGGAGGGGAAGGAAGGGAAGGGGATTATTCTGCTTCGGTAATGGAAAGCCGAAACCCCGCTCAAAACGCACCGACCGCTCCGCTCGATTGCCTGCAGCATAAATATCTTGTAAGAAAATTGGTGTAGTCGATTTCATGACTATCGTTTTCCTAGCGATTCTGGGCAACCCCAAAAACGCCCACCAGCGCAATAGACGCCGGGCAGGGTGCAGTGCGATGGCTAAATGCCGCCACTGCTGCTGCTACCGCCTGCTCATGCTACACCTAGTCAAACGAACCCTGCGTGCATGTTACACATGCGCCCTTGACCACTGCACTTCAGACGTATACATATAGCTGTGTGTACCAACGTGCCAATGTTTTCTAAGCCGCCCATTCGCCCACCCACTCCGCCTCACCTGCCACTCGCAGGATGTCGTACTTCTCCAGGAGGTGTGGTCGGAGGAGTACGTGGCGCTCCTGGCAGATGCGGCGGCGGCAGCGGGCTTGGCGCACGTCACCACCTTTGACGGCGGCATGTTGGGCGCTGGGTTGATGGTGATGTCACGATTTCCCATTATAGATGTGGTGTTTCATCCGTACTCCGTACGCGGAGAGCCGGGGGCGCTCCAGGGGGAGGCTATGGCAGGTACGGGGGTTCCACCCCACGCTCGCGCGGCGCGGCTCACGCGGTGTTGTTTGTGTCTAGGTTATGTTGGCTCGGTTTGAATGTTAAGGATGGATACAGTGTGTGCGAAGGTAACAATCAGCATTTGCAACAAGCATCTGAGCCAAAGGTCAGCCGAAGAGATGATCACATTCACGTATAGTGATGATCTGTAATCCTGAGTAGTGAAATGTCACCAGTTGTGGTGAGCCCCTTCGTTGTAATCCCCACCTGTTGTATGCTGGATGTATCTCGGGATTCTGACATCTGCCGATCTGCACTTTTCTGAAGTATAGGTACACCACCACCCCACCCCCAGCGCAGCTTGTAGAGGTCGATTCATGTGCGCACATCCATTCACCCTCCCCAGCGGCGGTTGTAGTAACCGCCCCCCACTAGGTCATCCCCCTTCCTCGCCTCCTCCATGTTGGCCTCAGCTATACCTGCCGCCATGACTCCGTGCGTACATACATACACATGCGCGTACGTCCCACAGGCAAAGGAATCGGTTATGCACGTGTTCAGCTGCCGCACGGCAGCGGCAGTACGGCAGCCCACATTTTCAACACCCATACACATGCCAACTGGGTACATAGCGTGGCGATCGACACGTGCCTGTCTGACGTCAAGGTCCCCACGGACAGCTTCGCACCGTACCGTGTGGCCAACATCGTAGATGCGATCAGCTTTATGCGGCCCGTTGTGGAGGCGGCGATGGCCGCTGGGGAGCTAGTGCTTGCAGGTGGGCAATAAACACCCGGGCTGGGTTGGCGGGAAGGGAATCAATCCTTCGGGCTGAGTGGCTGAGCCATCACAGGGGTAGGAATCAGGGTAGGAAAGGAACCAGGGGGCTCAGTCGTTTCAGACCGCTGTCCGCTGCCTTTGTTTTGGACCGGATCTTGCCTACGGCGGACTTTGCGTCTCAAAGGTTCCATGTGGCCTCGTCGCCCCATTCGTATTCCCCGCGGGGGCATCGCACATCTCACCCCTGCCCGCAGGTGGGGACTGGAATGTTCCCGCGGACTCTCTGGAGGCCACCCTGATTCAGGAGCTTCTGCCCGGTCTGCGGGATGCCTGGCAGCTGGCAGGACACGCGACATTGGACCCCAGAGGCAACACGTGCGGTGATCCGAGCAACGTGTACACCGGTGGGTGGTAGTGGGTGGGTGGGTGGGTGGGTGGNTG